TTTTTTAAAGAATCTGAATTCAATATTGCCATGTCTCACATGGGGATCAGAGGTTCTATTTTAGGTGTCCCAGCTCTGGTCCCTTCTCTAGCCATGACTTTCTTGGACATGTGATCAGGAGCCAGTTGCTTCCTAGGGGGGAAACTGCTAACACTTCCCTCAGAAATCTGTTGTGAAAGCTGGCCGTGGAGGCACACACCTGTAATTCCATCACCCAGCACCCAGGAAATAGAGACAGGAGGATTCTGGGTTTAATGGCAGCTTGGGCTACATACTAAAGTCCTGTTTGAAAAAAGAAATAATGAGAAAGTTCAGTTTGATAGTGCACAGAAAATATTTAGTTCACCGTCTATGTACAAGCAACCCTTGATACATGTTAATTAACACCCACAGATTTAGACATTGAGCTGCGATGGGAATAACCATAGATAGTCCCGAGAGCTGGCCGTTTTTATGTACCATGTGGTATCTAAGGTTCTATTTGACACCGGTTCCTGAGAAGCCTGGTTGATTTCGTTTTTGTGCCTGCATCATTTCCTGTAGTCCATAAAGCCCCTACAGTGCCCTGGTGCCTTGGCAAGGTTCACATGGACAGAGGGAGAAATAACCCAAGGACTTTGGGAGAAGGGCCTCACTGGGGCAGAACCCTGCATGCCAAGGGGCAGAAAAAGGCTACTGTGGGAAGAGCGCAGCTGTCAGGAGTGAGCGTCTAAGAAAAAGGTGAGGCTGATGTGCGAAGCTGCTCGACCTGCAGCTGGTCCTGATGTGGATACTCTGGAGTGTGGGATGATCAATGGAGGTAAGCGTGGGGCTGGGACACGCCAGGATCATCTACACAGGCAGCCTTTGTGCTGAGGAGAGTTTGTTCAACGCCCCTTTCGGAAGGCTTCATGGTATGCATGGTGTTGAGCAGGAGTCCGGGAACACACTTCCTCAGTATCCCCCCCACTTTCCAAAGTGCTGAGGATCAGAGGACATTTTAAAAGGACTTTCTAGGTTACATCCCATAATGGGCACAATGTTCTCAGTGTGCTAGGAAAGTACCTAGTTTCCCATATCGCTGAAGTTTCTGCATGATCGGCTTCGGGGGTTGTAATGGAGATGCCTCAGACACGGGCACCAGGATCTTACTCTGAGTGCACACATGCGCTACGAGCTAGCAAGCATGCCTCTCTGTCCCTCCTGGCCGTGTCCTTGCCTCCTCCTCTGCATTTCCTCCCCTCTCCTGCAGGAGACTTTGCAGTTTTCCTCTTGTTCTCGGTCCTCTACAGTTTCACAAGCAGATTTGAAGTACATGCCCAGGATTAAAACTTACCAACGCCAAGTATCGAGTGAGGTATTTATTGAAACAAAACAAGAAGGGAGTCTCCTCGTTGCATTTTTAAATAGTGTAATCCATGTGTATATAGTGTGTGCATAGATTCACAGAAAGGAGGCAGTGTCAGGGGATCCGACTGTAGCTGTGGAATCAGAAAGAAAAAAATCGCTTTTCAAAGCTGCTTTCTGGGGCAGGGGGATGGCTTGGTTGGTAAAATGCTTGCTGCAGGAGCATGAGTCTGGACCCCGGCCCCCACGTGATGAAGCTCTGTGGCTGTGTGCGCCTGCAGTCTCAGTGCTGGGGGCTGCAGACAAAGGGTCCCTGGGGCTCGGTGGCCAGTGGAGCTGAGTCTGTGAGTCCAGGTTCAGCGAGAGACTCTGCCTCAAAAAATAAGGTACGTAGTGAATGAAGGAGACGCCGGGGCTGACCTCTGACCTCAGCATGAATGTGCACCCATGTATTTCCATACCCACTTGCACACACACACACACACACACACACACACACACACACACACACACAATTTCTCAGAGTAAGCCTCACACACCATTGTCTGCTCCAATCAAGCAGATACAATTACAAGGCTGGCCATTTCTCTTTTCTCTGTTGCTCTTCACTGCAGAGGCCTTGCCATAGAAGGAGTGGTATTGATTTCAAACTCAAAACCACCAGTTTCTTCAGGGAAATTACACTTGTGATTAGGTGTTCTTCCTAAAGAAACAGCGGCACAGGGGGACAGATTGCTGTGATTTCAGGGCAGAATATCAAGGAGGGAGAAAGAACCTGGGTTGTTGGCTCAGCCCCAGCAAACCCTGGGTGAAAGTTTCCTTTGCAGGGCTCAGGGTGGGCCAGAGCAGGGAGGATCTTGGTGCTCATTGGACAGAACATCTAGTTTTATGCTGGGGAACCTGAGACATTGAAAGGGTTAAGTGACTTGTGGGTGATGCCCAGTTATTAATTAGTGAAGTCAGGCAGAGACATCTCTAGGGTCATTGATTCAACGCCCCTTTTCCCCCCTACAATGTTACTGCCTCTCTTGACAGAAATGGAACCTGCATGAAAAAAATCTCCTGAGAGATGTCATGTGGAATATATATATATATATATATATATATATATATATATATATATATATATATGATGCATTTTTATTCCACTTTGAGAAAAATGCTGCCAAACTGCTCTCTGGGGAATGGAGCCTCTATGAAGAGAGGAGGGCTTCTGTGCTTGAAGATCACAATGAATAATCATTCCCTTCACACCTAGACTGCATCCCAAAGGCCACAGCCACCCTGGGGGAGATGGTCACGTGGAGGAGGGGATGTGAGCTGGTTAAGGAGGAAAGCCCCCTGAGTAAAACAGAGTAGAGCAGTCAGGGGACCCTGGGGAGAGACGAAAATCAAGGGAAACTAGACACCGCGAGGGAAGCCTGATCAGCTATAGCTTGTATCGATATTAGATTATTTTTGTATGTGTGGAACATCTTTCCTCATAGGCATTGAGAGACCTATAAAGAACTAGAGAGATGCCTTTTGGCTAGGCTGGGTGGGGGGAGGGCTTCCAGCATCTCTCTCTCTCTGTGTGCTCTTTAATACGCTGAGCCATTGGGCAGTAGAGGCCCGTGTAGGAGGCAAGAATCTAGATGGGTTCAGGGCGAGATAAAAGCAGAAAAGAATAGACTTGAGATGGGCAAACACAGAGAACTCTGTTCCCGACTCAGTGACAAAGGGCGATCGGTTTCTTTAAGGCAGATGCATTCTCGTCTCCTCAAATTTAGTTTCTCTTTGGAAAACATTTAAAATAATGATTTACTCACTATTTAGTCATTTATTGAAGCTTTGCGCAGTGGCAGTATCGTAGCCAATGAGGTTTATCCGAGGCGCAATTATTGCCAATTGAAAACTAGATATTTATTGAGACAAGCCTCATGATGTTGTCTAGGCTGATCTCCATTCCTGGACTCAAAGGATCCTCCTGCTTCGGCCTCCGTAGTGACTGGGAGTGCTGGTGTGTGCTGCCACACCCATTTTTGTTGTTGTTGTTCTGGAAAAGTCTTGGTTTCCACCACCACACCCCCCCACCACCACCACCTCCTCCTCCTCTACCACCACCACCTCCACCACTACCACCTCCACCACCAAAGTCTAGGTATTCTCAGTACATCAAAGTTTCTGATAAAATTATCTTACTGCTCAGATGTCAGTAGATATTACAATACGTAGTGTATTTCTTCCCTTAGTAGGTGCTGAGGAGCTATCCACATGCCATGCAACTCTTTGCTAAAGGACTTAGCACAGCACTCATGGAAAACCATGTGACCTGTTTGCACAAACCCAGGGAGCATCTTGCTGGGCTTTCTCCTGCTCACACAGTCTCAGAGCACCCAGCATCTCAGGAAACCCAGTCAGGTCTCACGTCTAATTGATGGCAGTTTTTTTTTTTCTTCCCCCCTTTTCACCCACCTTGAAAAGAATCCTTTCAGCTCTTCCTGAGAATAACACAGTTTGACACTTAGATCTTTCTCTCCTCCACCTGAGCACAGAGCAATTCAGGGACAGCAAAGAGCACATTCTTCCTCTGAACTAGCGAACATTCTTCCCATGCTGAGTCCAGAGACAGAGGGAGAAGAAGCAGAAGCTAGGTCTCACTGAGGTGGGAGTCTCCCAGCCTCGTGTCTGAATGAATGCACATGGCTGCCCGCCATGGCCCAGAGGCTTTCACCACAAACGCCTTCAGCTTCCAGAGAGTTCCACGCACTGCTCTGAAAGAGCAGTCCTCATTTCTAACCAAATTTTCATTTACAATTTCATCATGAAGAACATCTGAAAAAAAGAAAAGAAAAAGAAAGAAAGAAAATCCAAAACCATGTCTCCTCACACGAAAAGAAATATTCAACAGAAAGAATACACATCTCTCAGCTCATCAAGTATTCGAGTTCCTTCAGGCCTCTGCAAACCCCACAGCACAGATGGCTTGTGGGAAATGTGTCCCCTGCAGACACAAGCGACCTGAGAGTTACGGAGGGACCACACCCTCTCGTGAGCGGGTTTTCCTAGGGAAGCTGTAAGAAGAGGAGGACATCACATATTGTTCACAAGAAGCAGGATTCTGGGCACAGATTTCTTTGTCATATAAAATTCCCTTCAGGTGACTCCTGCTTTGTTTCTTTTGTTTTTAAGATATGGTTTTAGATTAAAAAATTTATCATTTTGAAATATGGACTTTCAACAGTCCTACTGTTCTTATCAAATTATGATAGTTGCTATTATTATTATTATTATTACTTTTAAGACCAAGGCTCTGAGTTTCCATGTTATTCACTCATGGTAGCTTAAGCAAGGACTATCCTTGAAAAACACTGCTCCATTTCACTGTTCATCTGAATGAAAGTGCTCAGAATTCAGTATCAACAAGCACCAAATGACCTTTCTAAATACACCCAATTTACTACATCCATTAAGTTTATGATAATAAATAAAACCTCTGCAATGCCTCATAATAGCAGTAACGCCTTTCAAACGACTCTGCACTTAATGGCCAATTTTAGAGCATTAAATGTTGTTAACAATCAATTGACTGGATATCACTGCGCTTCCGTTTATAAATATCAAATTATATAGGTCACAGTGTTACCTTTGCTGGCTAGTTGCAGAATTTATATCAATGTTCTGTAGAATAATTACCAGACACTTGATCACGGTGATTTTTTTTTATTAGAAATGAGAAAACTCTGAATTTCCAAAGGTCCCAGATTCTCCCTCAGATACTTTCTCTAACACCCCCCCCCAACCCCAGGATCAGGTAATTAAAGGGGTATTGATGCAGAGGGAAGCAGAACACCACATGGCTTGGCAAAGTGTTTCCGTAAAGTTCTGTCCTGTAGCTGTGGATACAAACTCAAGCTGGTCATGTGCAGAATTCCAGCATGTCAGCCCACTACCCCTCGGCACAGCCAAATGCTTCAGCAGCTGCCCTTTTGTCCTGTTTCTTAAATAAACAAAGAACAGATACAAATTAATGACCTAAATTTATGGCAAAACACACTTCCTTCCCAGAGCAAACAGCCTTAAAAGAACAGATGCTAAACTAACGTTTCTTACCCACAGACCCCTAGAGATCATTCCGGAGAGCACTCCTAGTCCATAGAAGTGAAAATAATCATGTGTTAAAATGTAACGGTTTTGTGCAAAGTCACGTTCACAAGCCAATTTCACAAGCTTCCGGGTGTGGCCAGTGGGGTGGGTACCCAAGGTTTGCTTGGTGGTCTGATGCCCCCCGTTCTGCTCCAAGGGTCTCAACAGCTTTATTTCACTTACATTTTATTTGGCTCCCCCTCCCCCCCCCAAGAAAGATCAAAAGACCATTTTCTTCTAGAATTCTAAATAATATGGAAAATGGTTGGATGTGGTTAATAGTGTGTCGCTGTGGTTTCTAAGATTGTCGGGATGGGATGGTAGAAAACCTTTGTTTTAGTGTCTTCACTGTGTGTGTGTGTGTGTGTGTGTGTGTGTGTGTGTGTGTGTGTGTGTGTGTGTGTGTGAAGATGGGTTATTTCTGTGGAACTCAGTTCAGAATTTGTTTTTTTTTTGCATCTTTCCTTGCTTTATGTTTTACCCAATGCCAGCCATACATCACCACCGCTCTCCCCCCCCCACCCTCCTGGCCCCCTCCCCAGGAACGATGAAAACAAAAAGTCTCGTTGCTAACTTTGCATCCAGGGATGGAGCTAGGTCACCTCCAAGCAGACATTGGCGTGGAAAGGTACAGCGTGTTCATTGGCCACACGCCGTGCACTCTCTTTATCCCACACCGTACAACATTTCCAATCTTATTCAATAATTTAATATACATTTTCTTGTCAAGCTTCTTGGCAGCCGGTTATGCAGCTTGCAAGATGGACCGAGAATGCTACAGGTGGGCTGATTAGCGGGTGGCATTTCTGAATTCGAACAAGCTGTTAGCATTATGTCTGTTTGCTTTAGGTACAGATGTGAAATGATTTGACAGTAGATTTCAAAAGTGTGTGAGTACATTTTTTTGTACGTCAAACTATGGAAATCTGTGTGTGTTTTTTTTTTAATTTCACACATTGATAGTATGTATTGTATTTATTAATTTCAGAAAGTATATGCCACTGGCATGGTATAAAAATTAAAAAGCAGTATCCATAATGTATAAAATGAACAGATTGGCTAAACATCCCACCCCCAGTTAATCAGAAAGTCTTATCTCGTGCTTCAGAAAAAGTCAGAGGTTGGAATATTGGAGCCAGAAATGAGAATCTTTGCAAAGTTTGTTTTAATTGGTTTTATAGTGCTATGGCGATTAAAAAAAAGAAAGAAAGAAAAAAAAAAGGGAAAAAAGAAGCAAAAGGAATAACAACGACCACACACAACAAATGGCGTGTGGAACATTTGCCAGTCACATTAAGTGACATCTGCCCTTGTCTAAAATTTCAAAGGTGATTTCAGGATTTATAAGGGAAAGTCTGCTTGACATATAAAAAGAAAAGTTAAAATAAATCTTAGGAATTTAAATTTCCATGTATGCTCAGGCTACAAGATGAATGTGAAAGCTGAGATGCAGGGCTGGTGAGCAGCCCGGGTGGCTTCTACAGCCAATTCCAGGTGACTGGGGGAGATAGGGGCTTTTGGTGGAGGGGCCATTCACAGCAGTTGAGGAGTTCAAAGGGAATATTCATGATCAAGGCTGGTGGGCATAGGTTCACTTTGAAGCTATGAACAGTTAGGACGGCCCATTGTTCTCTCATGCATCTTCTTCCTCTTGGAGAGTTCGTTGTTAATACATCGAGCCTCATCTCTACCCACAGAAGAACTCTGTAGAAGCAGTAGATGGCAGAACTCCTCCATCCTTCCCAGTGCCCTGGTCCTGTTCCAGTGTCTCCAGGGGAGACTTGAGCCCAGTAGAAGCTATACTAATCCATTGTCTATACAGACTTGTGTTCACAGGAACGTAGGACATGGGAAGGACCCCAGAGAAGCACTAGCAAGAGCCCTCACACCTGTAAGGAGAAGAAGTGGACACCGCTGGGTAAAAATGCCACTCAACCCGTCACCTGTCATTACAGCTAGTGCCAGGCAACAGGAGAGAGGCTCTCATCCTGTTTCCCTCATCACCATGGTGTAAATAGCACTAGGCAACCTTGAAGAATAGCTCACACGATGTTCCGATTTTTACAGATGAAGACCCATGGCTTGGAGAGGGAATGTGTCAAGGCATTTTACAAACAGACTCCGTTTGTTCATCTCAGCAGATTTTGTGGCAGGCTGGAAAAGCCTGCTTCCCTAGGGATAGAACAGATGTGGGGAGAGCCATTTGCTCATGGCCACACAGGTGGATTTTCAGGCTCCAAGTTTTGCTTAAGATATATTTTCCCAAGATCGGACCCATTCAGCATTGTTTTCTGGACAGTCGCTTTGTGTCACGCTATCCTCTGTGCTGAGCGTAAGCAGAGACTGAACAAGAGCAGCAACTCTGCCCATAGGAGCCCACGTCCTGGTGGGGGAGACCAAGAATACTCACGGACAGTGTCTAGGGTGGTGACAGAAAATGAAAAAGTTGAAAGGGTGAAAATGAACCAAGGGTGATGTCAGAGGTGAGGTGGGCTGTGCCCAGTGAAAATCTCTTTGAAGGGAAAGAGGCAGCCACCTTGATTGGGGACTCACAACAAAGGCATGGGGCTGAGTGCAAAGTCCTGAGACGGAAACAGCCTAGTGAGACCAGGCAACCAGGAGTCAGCTTGGCTGGACCAGCCTGAGCTAGGAGTCAGCAGGCAAGAGGGCATGGGAGGTGGAGCATGGGGCTCCGAGGCCATGCTAGAGAGGAAGAAGGCTTTCTCAGGTGTTAGCAGAGAAGCCCTGACATTGTGAATATTCCTCACAGTCATGAGGCAAAGCTTCCCAAATTCTACATAGCAGATTTCCAAACCAGCTTTTGGAGCCCAGCTCATT